CGAAAAAAATCAAAAATATTTTTTTGTTTTTTTTTGGATTAGCTTTTGAATTGTTTTAAATAATGCAAGATAATTAAAAAAGGCTAAAAAAGCTGTTTTTTTCATTACTCATGAGGACGACTCGGAAGTTATACCTTCTCTAATGAAGTGTTGCACCCAATAAATTTAATTTACTGTCAGTTTTTTCAAATCACAAGATCAATTCTGTTTTAAATGCGAATAAAGCACATTTTTTTTAATGATGTTTTTTGTCAGCCCTATAACTCGCTTACGGTTAGTCCTACAGCAAAAATGCAAAGGACCATTTTTATAAGCTTTAAAAAAAGACACACATATGTTTACCCAAGTGTAAAGAAAGCGTTAAAAAACATTCCAACTCTCAAGGATTTTTTTCCACCGATCGCCCTATTTTTAAAGCTAATTTGACTGGGCTAGTTATACCCAAAAGTCGAGAGCACTGTTTTTTCCTTTTTTTATAGCTTTATCTCTCATGTCTCAAGAATTAAAATTATGGAAAATGTGGTGAAAAAAATGGACAATAATCTGTCTCGGTCGCACACCACAGCTCAGTATAAAAATAAGTAAAAAAAAACAGTGCCTTCGTCTTTTGAGTATTACATTTAGAAGAGAAAACTAGAAACGTTATTGAATTAAATTACAATGATCTACAATTTTTTTTCTTTAAGCCAAACAAAAATTCGTCGAAATCTGACAAAGAATAACAAAAATATTACAATGTGAAAAATCGCAAAATTTTAGTTGTCCGGTTAATTTTGGCGGCCAGTGTATTAATACATACGTTTGATTTTGTTTGCTTTTTTTTACAGATTACCTCTTTTATATCTATGTTCTTTTCTTTATCGGTTTCCTAATAAATAAGACAGTTTTGTGATTTTTAATTTCTTTTCTATAAGTAAAAATTTTGTCTAATTTGGAGCGGTTTTTGTGGCAACATGATCTGATTCATTTGTTTAGTCAATTTTTAAATTTAAATGATTCTGAAACAGTTTGTACAAGTTTGTAAATTTAAACGGTAGGTACACTATTTCAAATTTGTTTACAAAATTTACAGCTTTGTACTTACACAATAACTATGTCACTGTAAAAGTTTAATAACTATATTGCTATCTATAAAATTTATTATAAAATAAATAAAATGTACTTACCTTATCTTTAGTAATTCTTGTTAAAATATTTCTTGTATTTCCATTACCTAAAGCTTCTTTGATACGGTCTGAAACTTTAGAACCTATCCAAATAGCACCTAATTGTGTCTGTAACATCGACAACGGCGTATCTCCCCTATGATTAGGTACATTTAAACTTGCTTGTCCCTAAAAAAATCTTTCAGTAAATAACAATCAAACACTCAATCTCAAACCACCTGAATTATTAAAGTTGAAATAGCTGAAGTATTTCTGGCTAAAATAGCCCAATGCAATGCGGTATTTCCTTGATGATCCGTCAAATTCGGGGATGCCCCAAGTGTTAACAACAATCTAGTTGGATCTAAAGTGCAAACTTTCCAACACGACCACATTAAAGGTGTCATTCCTGCCCTATCCACCAAATCTGGACTAATCCCTCTGGCTATGAAATAGGCCACAAGTGCCGTATGTCCAAACTGCGCTGCCAGATGTATACACGAACAGCCTTCAGCGTCTCTGAGTGTGGGGTCAGTCCCAGCGTTCATCAAAATCACCACAGCATCTAAATGACCTTGTCGAGTAGCCCAATGGAGAGGAGTCGCGTTTAATTCGCCACCCACGGCGTCCACTTCAGCCCCCTTTTCGATAAAATACCTTATAATGTCTTTGCGGTTGTTGATAGCAGCCCAGTGGAGAAGAGTCACTGTTTCGCTGTCTCTTTGGTTCACGTTGTAACCGGCTTCTACTAGTTCCTTTACTCGGGCAAACGCCCCATACTGTGAAAGTTGTGCATTAATTAAAGGTTTTTTAAATGTTTTCACTTACTTGAGTCGCTTTAACAATGTCGAAACCACTGTAGTCATGCTCGATGGCTGGAACTGCTGGTTCTTTTGATATTAAGCTGTGACAATCACGTTCTGTTCCGACACATCCTCCAGCACTTGCAGCCGCCGCTCCGCAAGCGTTTTGGTACATTTTTATTAAATCCTTTTAGATATTTTATCATTAATTTTGACAGGCAAATGACAGGGAGACATCAAGTCAAGTTGAGGTTAGGTTTTCGAATTGATGAAATCGATAATTTGTAACAAGAACAACGTGTCACTATAAATTATAATACTAAATCAAAGACTTGGTAAAATCTGTACGGGAACTGTTCTACGAATATACATTTGTTTTTTCAACCTCCTTTTAACTTATGAAAATTATGTCTAATGGCAGTTGAGGAAGACGAATGTTTTATTGGTTGCCTATCCGATTACTTTCTGGGAAATTTATAAAGTATTATTATTAAACTAATCGAATTATTATAAGTTATGGTCTTTAAAGTTAATTGATAATATCATTAAGGCCTGATTTCTTCTAGGATTAAAAAGTATAAGTATGAATGGCTGTGAATGTTAAAAATTGTCGATTTAAGAGTTTTCGTGCAACTATGAATTCATAAAAATCCTAGTTTTTTAATTTTGAGTGTTTTGATTGTAAAAACAATGGCAAAAATTTCTTGCAAATTAAAAATTAAGTGTTTTTAACTTTTGTTTTATTATTTAAATTAAAACATTTGTGAAAACTTAAAAACGCAAACCTCTAAAAAGTCCAGAACTCTTAAAGTTGAAAATTATCATTTTCATTTTTATTTTAATACCTATTACGGTATTTAAAAAAATACAAGTATTTAGATGTTCAAAACAAAAAAAATAAGAATTTGGAAACTGAGGAAGAGTACTCTTGGAGGAAAAGAAACTTTGGTAATTGAAAACTTATTACAATAACTGCTCCTCATCTCTTTCACGGTAAGGGGTAGATTGACTTTTTGAAACAAATTTCATTATTATCACATATTTATACTTAATAGTATTTTTAAAACAACTTTTAAAACATAAAAATTCTTACTAAAAATAAATTTGAGCTTTTCAGTCACTAAACTCCAACTAAATACGTATAATACCTTTCAACGTACTAAAAAACACAAGTTTGCAATATACAGGTTGTCCGGAAAGTCGCGCACTTCCTTGAAAGGGAGTAATTGGGTAGTACCCCAGAGTAAATGTTTAAAAAATTCTCTGTCTTTGACATTTGACTATTTAATGATACTGATGATTGTGTAAATGTTTTGTACAGGTATAAAAATTTTGCCAACAAAAGCCACAAATAATAATAAATTATTTTTCCAACAGAAATAAATAGTCAAAGTGCAAAATTTAAACTCTCATAACTTCCAAAATTTTTAAATAGATTTTTTTAAACATTTTTCTTGTTACAGTTGGAGACAAAATACTTTGGTCGTCACTTTTCTGACACTTTAATGTAATTCAAGCTTTAACGTTAAAATGAATGACAATTTCAAATTAATGAGAGCTATTATATCTTCCTATCAAAAATATGTACAACTTGTCAACTCTGATTGACAGTAGCTAAAAATAAACTTAACAGTCCTAAAGCATGCTTTACAATTTAATGTCACTCAAGTGACATTGACGACCAAAGTATTTTGTCTCCAACTGTACCTAGGGCATCGGCCGATAATACAGTGTTAGGAAGGTGCGCGACTTTCCGGACACCTCTATTCTTAAGTACCCAACAACAACACTGAAATATCGATGCGTCGAGTGATTAAAAATGATTACCAAAAATACAGTAGAACCAATTTAAATCGAGCCGAGGTAACTATAAATTTTATACAGTGTACTTAATATTCAAGGCAAAAAAAGTTCAATTCTATTAAAATTGTTACCAACCCTATTTATTGCTAACCATTAAAAGTTAGATGCCGAAAAAAAAAATGAGATCATAGCCAATGATGACAGAACACAATATTTTTGGACCAAATGAAAATACTGATGTCTTCTTTTTTAGTTTTAGACTACATATTATAGTGGACTTGAAATAATCACAATTTTTAATTATTGCAAAAACTAAGATAAAAATACAAAAAACAAAACTGGAAATGTTTAAATGTCTACTTAAAAAAATTGCCATAAAATTGCCTTTCCCGCTTTAAATAACTCAACTTTTTTTTCTTAGCAACGTTTAATACTGCCTGGATGTTGTTATCATTTGGGTGCAGATTAATTGCGACATTTAAATCCTTGATGGCTTTATCGTAGTCTTTTAATGCTAATTTTGCTTGTCCTCTTCTATAAAAAGCTTTCCCATTTTTTGGCTCCTTTAAAATAACCTTGAATGAAAAAACGAATAGGAAAAAATTATAAATTTACATCTAAAGTCACCTGACTACATAAGTCTATAACCTCTTTGTACTTGTGTCTCTTCAGTCTCACTGCAGCAAGATTTAATAACGAATTCATTTTCAAATCTTCTATGTTTTTAATATTTTTATTTTCTTTAAGTCCTAAGTACCAGTCAATATATCTCAATGCTTTAATATACTTTCGTTCTGAATCTACGTAGTTGCTCTGTTTAAAAAAGTGGTTACCCGAATTTTTTATTCGATTTATTGCATTTTCAATCAATTTTTCTCTTTTATCCGATTGCAAATCCCAGTCGTTTGGCCATGGAGGATAGATATCTTCTGTTCCGTCTTGTTCCTCGATGCCCCAGGGAACTCCCGGTTTCAATTCGCCACAATTTATTATTACAATATTCTACAAAGTGATTAGATAAAGTATTTAACATGAGTTGCAACATACTTCTATCGGTGTGTCGCCATTTCGTGGCACTTCGCCCATTTCTTTAATTATATTGAATCCTTTTCTGACTACACCGAAGACGACGTTAATACCGTCGAGATGTGAACAAGGAACTGTAGTTATATAAAATTGGGAATTGTTGCTGTTTGGACCGTTGTTGGCCATTCCGACCATGCCCTCCTCTTCATGCTAAAAAAACCGCATATTTGAATAGTTCGTCTAAGTGTTAAACTAACACTGAAATTATTTTAAAAAAATCTCGTGTGAACATCGCACGACTTTCCTTATCCTACTTATTTAGAAAACATCCTAATAACGACAATAATTTAGTGTAACCTTTGCGTTAGTGCCACTTGCCGGATTACACGCGAAATAAATCATAGTTATCGCGGGTCCGAGCCTGGGGTGCAGTTTTTTTTTTTAGTTCGGTCTGGGTAAGTCAAATTTCAGCCGATTACAATAATAATTAGATAGGTGGCCGTGTTCTCTTAATTGCAGATATCATTTTCTTAATGATAAGAGGTTAAATTTTGAAATCACTTAAAATTACTAAATTTTACTAAAACACTTTGACGCAAATGTGAGTTGGGACACCCTGTATATGTAATACAATAACTCCCAACATAGTATTAGGAATATTATTTAAATTAACTACCTACCCGAAAAAAAAAACAAAATGCTATGAAGCAGAAATATTGTGAAAAATGTAAGAATTACATTTTCTATACAGAGTGGACGAAAAAAATGTTGAAAGATTTTGGGGAGTGGTTTGTGGTTGTTAATTACTCAAAATCCGTCAACTTTCATATTATTCAATTTTCACAGTTACCATTAGAAAAAATAAAGGAATTTTATCATGCAGAAGTGATTTCAATTAATTAAAAAAAATCCAAATTTGGTTTTTAGGGTCTAACTGACATACACTAAAAATTTTGAACAATACAGGGTCATTTATAATAAAGACCCTAACCGATCTTCAGACGCAACCCAAAATACATTCTCACAGATAGCTTGGATTTTGTTGCGTTTGCAAAATTTAAAATATTAATTTAAAATCAAAGTGATTGTTGATAGATATGTCATGCATTAAATATGACAGTGTCATCAATTCCACTTTTATTTCCTCTTGGATTCGAAATGTATTCAAACGACGAAAATCTAACATGATCTTGGTATACCTTTAGAGAATACCACAAAAATGGTGTGGCTAAATCTGTACCGTCAAAGGTACACCGTAGGACGCCAAGTTATAAAAACTGTCAAAGCTATCACAGATATGTTTAAAGCTTCGAAAAATTTCAAACAGTACATCAAGTAACACATAGTGGCATCTGAGATTGTATTTTGGGTTGCGTCTGAAAATCGATCTTTATTAGCCTGTATTAAAGCATCAAATTGAAGTTTATTTAATTCTCTATCGTTTGCACCAGCAAATTTTTTTTTAATCAATTAGAAAACTTGGGACACCGCTAAAAACATAACACAAAAATTACAACAAAAATTAGACAATAAATCCAAATCTGCCAGAAAAATCCAAAAACCATCTTCCAAAGCAAAATTAGTGCCTCCGCCCCTCCTAATCAGGGTACACAATTTTTGATATCACCAATAGATTCAGCGCCAAAAAATTACTCCAGATGCTAACTTTCTTAAAACTACGAGTATATCTTAGAGAGTATATTTTGAAAAAAAGGCCTTTTGTCCGCCATCTTCAGAGAGCTCTAGCTCCCTAAAGAAGCATTTCCAGATAAATGTCCATAGCAACTTTTTTTCTTATTTTAACCTAGGATACCATCCCCCAAAATCTTTCATTGTTTTTCTTAGTAATTAGTAATTACTTACATAAATGATAAAAAATTGAATTGTAGATAAGAACAAAAATAAAAAATAAACTAAACTAAACAAATCGACATAGCACATTTTAATTCCTTTCTTTATTTTTAGCATTAATTACGAAAACAATTAAATAAAACAACATGTTTCGATTCAATTAAACTAAAAAAATTCTTTATTTGTATACGCTCCCGAAAACAGCTGTGTTAGGGTCTCATTTGAGTCTCTAAAATAAGTCATTTCCGGACTCAATAAAATAATACGTAAAATGGTTATTTTAGGTACTCAGTCCAGTTTTTCCGGACTAAAAAATAAAATTGGTTACTATGGTGGCATTTTTTTAATTATTAAGAGGTGTGAATTCGTGTTTTGGAAGCTTTAACAAAAAAATGTTGTTTGTAACACATACCTAAAACGTTTTTGCGGACTCATCTGCAATGATTCGTCCGCAAAAACTGTGTTTTAGGTACTTGTAACAAAAATAACTTTAAAATAAGCCAAAGCAAATAAAATAGGTCTAAGTAACACGTTTTTAGCAATGTGAAAAAAAAATCAGATTAAATCGTTAAAGATAAAAATCTGGTCTCTGGTCAGGTATTTAAAGCAATTTAATTCTCTACAACTTTCTCCTTTATGATTACGATTTCAAAATAAAATTAATAAATAGAACTGCAAAATTTTCTAGCAGTTATAGCTTCCAGATCCTTTGTTAAAACAATTACTACAAACTAAATTTAAAGACGTTTCGGCATAAAACATGCCATCATCAGCTATTTTTCTTACAAAACAATTTTCACAAATGCAATGCATTTTAATTTGTTTTAAATTTGTTTAAAAAAAAGGATAGATCCAAAATAAACATTAATTTAACTTGGAAAAATAGAATAGGAAGACCATAGTTGTAAAAGAGACTTTTGATTGTAATTATGTGTATGTTGTTTACTTTTCATTGTGCTTATTTACTTATTTTCACATAAAAATTAAATTTAGAGACATGAACTGAAAGTTTTTAAATTGGGTTTAATAGTTTAAAATTTTAATTACCAGCACTGTAAAATTTTCATCTTCAAATGTATTTCCATAGATGCTTTCACCTCCTGTACCATCTTTCGTCGTAATGTCTCCTCCTTGCACCATAAATAAAGGAACCACTGTAATAAAAAATATAACATAAAACACAATTTTTAGATTTTTTATTCAAGTAAGACAATAATAAACGTAATGAATAAGGTATTTATTTTCTTCTCCGCCTTCCTCTGGAGCGACTGCGTGGTTTATCAGTTTTACTACTATTATCATTATTGTTATTATTATCATCAGTGTCATTGGTTGCATTAATTTCTTTCTCATCATCACAAGCACAATCTTGTTCAGGTGGAGGACAATCTGGTTTATTTTCACTACAACAACAATTGTCAGTTGCCACCGCTTTATCATTAGTCTTGCCTAAATCAAAATCACTATTAATTATTAAGTAAAGTGGAAACAACATCTCAGTTACAGTTGTTGTTACAACAGCACTCCTCCCGTGGCTTAAAAGGCATAACTTTAATCGAACAACAGGGAAGTTTAGGGCAAGGTTCTGGTGTACAACATTTAGGTCCTGCTGAACAACATTTAGGTTTAGGTGGACAACATTTAGGTTTAGGTAAACAACACTTGCAGCCCTCTACTGGCGGACAACTGGCCCACTGCTCCATTTTCTTACATTGACATTCGACCCGAGAGGGAGTGTCACAAATTTCCAGCTGCCACCCACAAGGGGTGCAGCACCTTTTTTGAGGAGTTTCAGATATCCAAGCTAAACCGAAACGGCCTTTGACCAGTTTAGGCTTACAACAACAACAGCATTTACAACAATCATTCTTAGCGTTGTTGTTGCCACATATTTGAAGGTCTGACCATTGCTGTCGCAAGTTGTTAAAGTCTTTATGCCACTTTTTGAGGGAATCGAAGTCGGGGGGAAAGCAGTCGCCGTCGGAAGAGCAATCGTCGCAATTGCAGCAGGGCATTTTAGTTTTTATTAGTTTTTGGTTACAGGAATTTTGAACTGACTGAACGAAAAGAAATGTCAATTATGTGTAGCCAACTTATTACAATTTTGAAATGAAAAATTAATTGTTTCACTTACCTCTATGGAAAATAGTGTTTTTAAAATGTAGAGGTTTTCCGTGTTTGCCAATCCCCTTTTCACCAGTGCACAGAGCCCGGAAATTTTCCGCTGTTTTTGGAACTTTATCCTTAAAGAGTTCGATTACGACTCTACCGGCTACAAATGAAATAACACAATTATATTATTTTTTAGAATAGAAAAAAACCTTTTGCCGGCCCAAAACTAATATCCAGAAAGACCACCGGGTTTTTTTCCGTCGTTTCATGATTTTCGTTATTCATTGCTACAGATTCACTAGAATTGTTTTCGTAGGACGTCAAATATTTCATTATTCATTGCACGAGTGGTTTGTTAGTAATTAACGTACATTTTATACACCGGCATTATCAAAAACTTACACATTATTCTTTTTTTTAACAGCTTACCTATTTACGATTTGACATTTCATTGACGTAAATCAGTCAATAAAATCAAAAACCCATACTGTCATATGTCATTAACTTTGATAGCTGAAGTTGGGAATGTCAACTTTTTACGAGAAAAATAACTGGCTGTAAATTGAATTCGAATTCATCAGGTGATTTTACACAAAAAGAAGTCAACAAAATAAATGTGTTGTCTTAGAATTGTTTAGATGTCTTACAACGATTGTCAAGTTGGTTAGTATTTTATATTTTCTATAGTTGGCAGTGTTGGCACCTCTGCAGTGTTGCACAGGGTTGCCAGGTCTAGGAATTTTGCCCGAATCTAGGGATTTTTAAACTGTCTAAGGGATAAAGAGTTTTTTTTTTCAGTTTTTTTACACAAAATCTAGGGATTTTTTTAGAATCTTTTGGGAGATGCTTTTTGTTAGTTTTTGTGTTCAAGGTTTCAAGTATATTTTTTTTAATTATTCACATTATTATATTGAAATGTAAAAAAAAACGAGTTGATAGGAATTATGAAGGTCACTATAATTTTTCGGGAGGGAATTACCGTTTATTTAACACAGGTAAATCCAAAAAAGTTTTGAACAAGAAAATACGTAACTCCCGAACTCGTCATTAATGACTTATACGAAAGTAAGTATATCCCCTAGCCACGTAATAACTCGTAATTACACTCAATCTTCTATATTTCTTTTTGCAAATACAGTTTAAAATACCTAATATGAACAAAAAAATTGTTAAAAGTTTTGTGCATTTATGTAAATTGGAGTGTGTTAATAACAAATTTAGCAAGGTATGTGTGGCAGTTTTATTAAACTTTTTTAAATAATCCGAAAATAAATTGTACTGTTTTTATTAATATATGTTTTTTAATTCTTTTTATTTATTTCTTTTTAAACTGCTTTCAAGATGTTGAAATGGTATCAAAACCATCATCTTCCAAAGATATCGAAGAATATTCTTCATCAGAAGAAGCTGTAGCTTTGAAGCAAACCAAAAGGAAACGTAAGAAAGAATTTTTTCTATAATTAATTTAAATAAAACCAAAATTCGAAATAAACTCTCAGTGGAAACATTAAGTGGTTTTCAGCAAACAAAAATGTTGCTAAAAGATAACAGTTGTTTTAATTTCGTAATCGATTCTACTTTGTTAAAAAAAATGAACAAGGAAATATATATTTTTTTATGTGGTTTTATACTATTAATTGTACAGGGTGTTTCACTTAATTTTACGAGGCCTGCGCCTGAAAGTTGCAATCAATAATACATATTCTGATACGAACACAAATTTACAAATTTCGAAAAATTGGATAATCTTCTCATAATCTTGTTCACTCTTTCAAAAATTACAACGTTTTTAGTTAGTTAGTGATTAAAATAGATAAACTACAATCATATTCATGTCATCTCTTGATAGAACAAATGATAATTGTTTCTGAAAAACTGCAGTTTATGATTATTAATGAAATAGTGATTAGTTTGACAACTACTATTTGGGTGCGTACATTAGGCGCAAGCCTCGTAAAGTTATGTGAAACACCCTCTATATACTTACATATAGGATGATTTACGAGGAATAATGAGCCTGACTAAATTTTCGATGCAACCAACATTACAGTGAAGAGTATAATGGTGGTTGCATCGAGAATTTGGTCAGGCTCATTATTCCTCGTGAATCACCTTATATTCTTAGTTTTTATATTATTACGAATTATTATTATATGTAATTTTCATTAGTTTCTGTTTTCTTTAGTTAAATTGATAATATGTATTTAGTTTGTTCAGAATATACTTTACATTAATTAAGAAAGTTATGTTTCATTTGTTATATTATTTGTTTAATCAAAAATGTTTAAACAAACTTTTTTTGAAATTCTGATTTTGTTATGCAATCCAATAAACACCTAAAATTTAAATGGATTTGGCAATGCCTAGGGATTTCTAGAGATTTTTAACAACTAAATCTAGGGATTACAAAAAATTTCACATGGCAACACTGGTGTTGCAGTTGGCGCTACATGACGTTGTTCTTGGAATGTTGTGATTTATTCAAAATCCATGTGTTTTTATATGAAAATTACCAAAAAGTAGTGTGAATAATTGTCTTACAATGGAGGTAGAAACGGAAAACACCGAAAAAGTGGAGTCTTTTATTGTAAAGTGAGTTTTCATGAGTTTTTTAATTTGGGTTAGAACTTGTTTGTTTTTATCAATTTTTTAGGGCTACGGATGTGCCTTCCGAATTTTTCGAAGCCCGTGACAATGCCAAACGTTATTTTCGTCGTTTTGGAAAGGTTAAACTCGTCACATTTCGCCCAAAACGTAATACTCTTCTGATCGAATACGCGAACGAAGACGGGATGTTAAATGCCTTAGAAGTCGCAGGAGAATACAACGGTCATGTATTCAACGTAACTCGAGACACGGAAACTGTCGTTAAAAAAAAGAGACCTAAGAAAAATCCAGACCCGGATTGGACAGACGATCCGGAAATTAAAGCTGAACTAGTTGCAATGGGGGGCTTTGCCCCCCGGACTTATGATCTGAGACCTGAAGGTGCTTAAATTACTTATTTGGTACGCTATTATTACACTTTTTTGTAGCCATGGCTGTGGACGTCCCTGAAACACAAGTACCAAAGTTGAAACGGCAACGTTGGAAGGGGGCTTCACCAAAGCCACAGAAAAAGAAAGGTAGTCTCAGGTTGGGTGATTGCATGTCTTGATTGATTAATTAATTAAATTACTAGTTTTAGTTCAGAGCAATGTGATTTAATCAATTTAATTAGACAACAAGCGACGACAGTCGAGGATAAGTTTCGGATTCTCGATGCTCGGGACAAATTAATACGAATTAAAATAAAGAAAAACATTGAATTGAGTAAAGCTTCAATTACTGTGGGCACTTGCCCGGACATGTGCCCCGAAAAGGAACGTTTGATGCGCGAAACGCAACACCAAGTGGCGCTTTACGAACAAGATGTTGGGGGCAAAGGAATGAACCCCCGACTTGCCGTCAAGCAATACTCGCGAAGCTCGGCCGATCAGGAAGCCCCCTTGCCCCAGGAATTACGACCAGTGTCTGTCTTACAAATGACAATGGGGTATCTCATGCACAGAATTATGGGCCTTTGTGACACCACTGATGTCAGTTTTTTTATTCCAAAATTGTGACAATTAATTTATGAAAAATTATTTCAGGTGAATTTAGCTGAATGGTATCATTTTTTATGGGACCGGACTAGGGGGATTCGTAAAGACATAACTCAACAAGAGTTGTGTTGTCAGGGAGCAGTGGAATTGGTCGAACAATGTGCCAGGTTTCATATTTTTTGTTCTGCAAGATTGGTAGCGGAAGATCCTTCTGTTTTCGACCAGAAGATTAATACCGAAAATTTGACCAAGTGTCTTCAGACGCTGAAATATATGTATCATGATTTGGCGCTGAAGGGGGAGGAATGTAGGAATGAGGCGGAGTTTAGAGCGTATATTATTTTGCTCAATTTGAACGATGGGAATTTTATGTGGGAGGTAAGCAAAAATTACTAAAAAATGGAGTTTAACGTTACATTTTTTGGTTGGTAGTACTTCAGAATTTCGACTAGCTACAATGGCAATAAGTATTTATTTTAATCGAGCTAGAAACTATAGCATTTTAATAGCATACAATTTGGTTTAACCATTTTTATTTTCAATTTTTAACGTTACATTTTACAAGAATTTTTATTTAAAACATTTAATAGTTTTGATTTTTTGTTTTGAGTCGATGTACATAGAAGCTTTTTTGGTAAAAAATACTACATACAGGGTGTTAAAAAAGATTGTGAAATATTATGGGAGGGTGGTTCACTGTCAAAAAATTCAAAGGAAAAACCAATGTTCATAAAATGTTTAAGTCCAAAATATGTATTAAACAAATTACAGTAAATATAAAAAGTACAAAATCGCAAAGAACCAAAGACACTTATGGTTGAAATGTTTGTTTCTAAAACATGTTTAAACAAAATAAAATAAAAGCAAAATAATTTTATCCTAAAAATTTCAATGCTAAAATGTTGAAAAACAAAAAGTGAGTAATAGGTCGCAGAAACGAAAGAAGGTACTTAACATGCCTAATCTCCCCCTGCGCAAGAATAATTAGCAAGGACTGGAAACAGTGCGCACATAGTGATCAGTCAGTTTGATGCGTAAAATTTTGTCCAATTTTAGTTTTGCGTGAGTACTTTCTTGTTAATGAATATTACCATGAACATTATTAAAAGAAGTTTTTGCTTAATTTTTTTTGAAAATATGTGGTTTTATGTTTGAACATTTTAATTTATTTACAATTTTTTTGCGATCACACGGGTTACCATAGTATGGACCAGAACAAACAAAAAAGTGTTAATAAACATTAGTCATTGAGTCTGCAAAGTAACGGTTTCGCATTGAGAAAAAAATTAAATAAACAATTTAAAGAACAAAAAATATAACGAGAAAAACAAATAAAAAACTGAAGATGTCGAAGAACTCTAAAGAAAATGAAGTTGATGATGATAAAGGAAAGAAGATTTAATTGACAGTTTCTTAAATGTAATTTTTTTTTTTGGTCATGTCTTATGAATTATGAAGGTCACTATAATTTTTCGGGAGGGAATTACCGTTTATTTAACACAGGTAAATCCAAAAAAGTTTTGAACAAGAAAATACGTAACTCCCGAACTCGTCATTAATGACTTATACGAAAGTAAGTATATCCCCCAGCCACGTAATAACTCCAGGTTACGTTTGAAAATTTTTACACTCAATCTTGATAAAGGAAAGAAGATTTAATTGACAGTTTCTTAAATGTAATTTTTTTTTTGGTCATGTCTTATACATATTCTTTACCGAATGTTGTAAACCTCTTTGCTTTTTTTCTTGTTTTTTTATATTTTTACAATTTTTTTAAGTTTTTAGAAATTTGGCCTGGTATGTAATGTGAATTTTTTGTATTTTATTTTATATTCTCATTACAATGTAAACCAAAAAAATAGTACTTTTTTTGTAATGTTGACATTAAAACAACTTCATTTGAGTCCACTTGAAATCCCTTGTTTATTGTTTTACGTATCTATTATTATTATCTTTAAAAATTTGTGGTTTAATTTTGACACCAACAAGAACGGATTTACGTCCACTTGAAATGTTTTAGTTATACGTATATGGCCTATTGTAACTGTGGTGATTATTTTTTTTTGCTACCGACTTGACCAATTTTGGAAGTGTTTTGGATTAAATGAAAACTTGAAAACTTAATCTGAAGAAACTGAGAAGAATTATTTTAATAAAAATGAGAAATAAAAAAGTGATTTTTGAGAATAATATACGGAGTTAGAATCAAAAAAATGGGATAATAAAAAAAACAATCCGACAACACAAAAAATAAAGAAAAAACTTATTATTTATGTAAGAAACAAAGAAACTGTGGTTGAGATAAAACGRTAATTTAACAATTGGGAAAAGGTATAACAAAAAAATTAGAGAACAAAAAATAAAAACGATTTAAGAAAATCAGATAAGAAACTACAAATGTCCAAAAAAAAAAAACTGAAGAAGGTGAAGATAATGAAAAAGATAAGAAATTCGGAAGATCTACTTGACAATTTTAAATTTTATTTATTTTTTGTTAATACGTTTTATTTTATGTTGTAAGCTCTTATGCATTAAATTTTTTTTTTTTAATATTCTTACAAATTTTTAATGTTTTTAGAATTCTGGTGTGATGTTTTAATATGTATTACGATGTAAAACAAGACAGAAATGAAAAAGTCTTAATAAACATGAGTCTGCAAAGTAACAATTTCGGAGATATCGAAGATTATTCGTTTTTTTGAAACATTTATTTGCAATTTGTTCCAACAAAAAAGAGCTTTTAGTAAAAATTCTAAAAATATTCTCATTCACACATCYCCAAAACGGTTACTTTGCCAACCCATGTTTATTAAGACTTTTTTGTTTATTTTGGTCCATACTATTATCTCCTTATATATTTTGCAATATTTTTTTAACACCCTGTCTAAAAGCTGTAGTTTTCGTTTGCTTCAGGTCCAACAACTCAAAGAGCACATCCAACAATCGCAAGAAGTTCGCTTCGCCTTGCAGGTCTACTCATCGTTGGACAAACAAAACTACGTGAAATTTTTCAAATTAGTCAACTCGACAACATTCCTTAATGCTTGTATCTTAATGCGCTATTTTATCCAAGTTAGATTATGGGCCATAAAAACTTTTTTAAAATCGTATTCACCTCGGATATCACAAACGTCACTTCCGGTCTCATACTTGACAAAAATCTTGGCTTTTGAAAATCAAGATTCATCAATTGAGTTTTTCGAAACTTATGGCTTATTCACAAATGTTGATCGAACTAGAATTGTTTTAGACAAATCGAATTTCGGTGCTCCGGAATTCCCCTATGTGTTAGATCGTGCTATAAATCTAGTGGAATCTAAACGAAATTTTTCGGTTGGTAGAATCGTTTGTGGTAGGGAATTACCACCGAAACTGTTTGAAAATCACGAACCGCAAAACAGTTTCGATCAGAACGGATACTTAGATTTTGATTTAGAGTTGGACGAAGTCGATTCTGGGAAAAAACAAGAAATCAGAATAGAGGAGAAAATGGAACAAGTTGTTGAAACACCTCCACCTCGAATTTTCAGTCCCAAGACAGTTCAGTCTAGTCAGAGTCAAACGATTTTTAGTCAAAGTAAGCCAAGTGTGGCGATTTTCGGTCAAAAAACAAACGAAAATAGTATTTTTGGGGGAAAGTCTGCACAAAAGAATATCTTCACTAACGTAAATACCACTCCTAAAAGTATTTTCGGTGGAGAAATAACACAGTTAGCACCACCTGTAGTCGTACCTGAAGTTCCGAAAATCTCACTGGAAGAAATTGAAAGAAAACGACTTGAAGGCGAAGAAGAAGCTAAACGGAAAATAGAACAAGAAACTAAACGGAGAAAAGAACAAGAATTGGAGAGACTTAGACTGGAAGAAGAAAAACGCAAAGAGGAGGAACGCCACCGCAAGCTTTTAGAAGATCAAGAGAAGAAACGCCGACTCGAAGAAGTACGAAAATTCGAAGAAATGAAACGTCAAATGGAACAAGAAGCGAAACGAAAACAAGAGAGACGCAAATATATTGAGATCAAAGCAACCGTCAGTAATGTCATTAGTGAGATTTTAGATACGGTTGAGGAAAAAATCAAGTGTGAAACTCTAGTGGAAATTAGGAGGAAAATCCGTGATCGAAAATTACAAAATGTGATAACAAAATGGCGGGAATATTCTCGTCGGAAACGGAAACGCAAGGCTCTTGATTTTAATCCAATGTGGTTTGGAGGACGATCAATCACGGAAGAAGTTCGCGAGTTGCGAACCGACAGCCAAAACCTTGTTTTAACCAATAACAACAAGAGATACAAATGGGGAAAACCTTTTGACATTCCGATTAAAGATGACGATGTTGGCAAAATTGACTTGTCAGAATTGACGTATAAGTTATTAACTAAAAAATATTGGGATGTTGAAATGAAGTTTCACAATGAACTGTTTTGGAAAGTAATCGTTTCGTTACCGAACGATTTGACACATGTCGAGAAAGTTTTGGACAGTTGTATAAATTGGCAACAGCGCGATAATTCATCTGTTTTGATCCAACAGTCGAAATCGGTGCCTACTGTGACATATTGTATTGAAAAACAAAAAGGTCTTGCCGTAAACACTCGAAATGACACGAATGGATTCATTTTCATCGCCAACTGTTTTAATGACGATATCTGGCGACGTATCATTGCCAATTTTAAAAATTACGGCGTTTTTGTTAAGGTTCCAGTGGTTTTAATATTGCAAAATTATGACGAGGCGAAGCCGAGTCTGAAAACTCTCATTCAGGAAGGGATAATTTCCGATTATTTGATACTTGTTGATAAGTTTACGGCTCGAAATCTTGTGAATCTAGTCGAAGAAGCTTTGATTTTTCTTTCGACAAGGGTCGAAAAGGCCCCACCATTGGAAATGGACACTTTGCAATCATTTTTGACGAAATTTTTGATCACGGATTTGTGGAAACGTTGCAATAGTTTTGCAAAGTGGAATTCAAATTATAAAAATTGTTTGAAAAATCCTAACACTGTGATTTATCTTCACAACGAGGCTTTGGATCGTATTAAAACTATTCTTTTAGATGAGGAGTGTCGCGAATATCCTAAATTTCCGCGAATTTTTCGGGAATTGCTCAGAAGTGAAATCCCGGATTCGCTTCCATGTGACTACAAATATTTCCCTAGTTTTTGGGATACTGACACTTATTTGGAGTATTTGAGGTCGGTTTTAGGAACTTTTAGACTTCCAAATTTTTTGGAGAATTGGCCACCTTGTAACCAGCTACAGCTCGAATTATCCGTTTCAAAATACTGCGCTCAGGTCGTTAAAGACCCACAAAAATTATTTTACAAAGTTATGAGTGTTATATTGCGGTATTTTGATCCGTGTTCTGATTTTAAAGAGATTGCTAATGTGGTTTGGTGCGATGTTATAGAGGTGGTAGTACTGGAAAAGTTAAGCCAGACTGATTTCACATTGTATGGGACTGGATTTGTCAATAAATCGGTTTATAATCAGTTAATTGTGGTCTATGATGTTGGTAAACTTGATTATGTGAAAAGTGATTGGTTTTATATTAATAATCCGATTGTTAAGCAAAAAATATTCGAATTCTTGCAACAGAAGGATGAAACTGTGAAAACGAAAATCGATGTTACCGACTTGGACATTGATGCGATTTTCACAAAGATTACTCAACCACAAAAGCAAAATGTAACTAAAATTAAGAGCGAATTGAGCACATGTAAAAAATTGTTGACTGATTTGGAGGAAAGTGTTTTAATACATAAGGAGATTTTAAAAAAGTCCGGGAATATTTTGAAAAGTATTATGGAGGAAAAGTGATGTAATAAATTAACAATTAAACATGAACACATGYACCTATTTTGAAAACACAAACGCAGCCCTCTCCGTCCCTTTACTTTTCCCATACGCTATTTCAAGGGATTCAATCTTAATCAAGCGTCTATAGTTTTGTGCGGCGGAATAAAGATTAACAAAAATTCCATTATGAGTTTTGCCTATTCCATTATTAGGAGGGCTCAGAAGCCAATCCGTGTAAGTCAAGTAATCTGAAAAATGAAAAATATTTAAAAAATTTGTTGTGTTGTGCTTGCAAAGGTGAAAAATAATTTTTTTATTGAGAGAGAATTGATAATACTTTAAAATGGTGACTTAGGTGCATGGCCAATTGAAAGATTTAACAATACAGTGTTTTCTGAACACATGAGTCATTTTGAGAAAAAATGTGACTTACAGTGATTGAGATCTGAACTCCCCATTAATTGGCAATTAATTGGTTACAACTTATTTTAACATATTGTATTGACAACGTTTTGTCTGAACGCAAAAGCTATTGTAAAATATCAATTAAGGCAGCAAACTATAAAACTTGTGTTATTTTTAACAATTTTTCTAACACTAATATTGGATCAAAAATTTTACTAAATTCAGAAATTATTGTTAAAGAAATTTGAACAAATGTCACGATAAGTACATAAAGTACTTGTCATTCACAACATATTTTATCCCTTAAGAGGAGACGTGGGGTCAACATGACCGCCCACGTTATAATACACTGGCGGAAACGGAATTTTGGACATCTAATTTATGTCAGTTCAAAAAATGACAATGTAAGTCACGCTTTATTGTCATTATGATTGACGTTTGAAACTAAAATTTAAAAGTTTTAGTTGTTTAGCGTCGATTTTCCGAAACAATAATGCAATAATGCCAGCAATACGTTTTTAAACATACAGGTTGCGCCAGAACTCGCGCCCCAGAGAAAATTTTCAAGTAAGGTAAGATACCAGGAACATGAAAAAAATGTTTAAAAAATTGTATCTGTCAAAAAAATTTGACATTTATTTTTTGACATTTGACATTTTTCATATCTATTTAATGATACTGATGATCTTGTATATGTTTTTTTACAATTATTTAGTAAAGGGACAAAAATTTTGCCAATAAAAGCCACAAATAACATTGATCAGAGTTACAATTTAGGATACAGCTTTCTTGTTTCCTCTTCTAATAGCCTATAGCAAAAAAATTTGGAGAATTATTTTTACAACAGAAATAAATAGAGTCAAAGTGCAAACTTTAAACCCTTATAACTTCGAAATTTTTATAGATAAAATTGTTTTAACATTTTTTCCATGTTCCTGGTATCTTACCTTATATGGCAAGTTTATCTGGGGCGCGAGTTCTGGCGCACCCTGTAGAAGTTCAATAAATTATTTTGATTTGTTGTCATTTTTTCTCTGGCTATCAGGATAAAAATTACAAAAACCGAAAATGAGGTTAGTTGCCTAAGGCCCGTTTTACAATTGTATGTCACTCGAATGACAAATCGTCCAAAATTCCGTGTCCACCAGTGTATGTTAGCGCCTTTTTTCTGTAGTTTTTTTTTCGTTGTATATTCTTTTAACGAAAATACCTGTAATTTTTTTAATAAAAAAAATATTTTGTGACATGATTAAAAACATTAAAAAACCATTTGTTTCATTACTATACAGGATGCGCCAGAACTCGGGCCCCAGAGAAAAATTTCAAGTAACATAAGATACTAGGAACATGGAAAAAATGTTTCAAAAATCAAAAAAATTTAACAATTATTTTTTGACATTTTTTATGTCTATTTAATGATACTGATGATCTTGTATATAGAAAAATAAAGAAAATTTAAAAGAAAGTATAAAGAAAAATTAACTTTTATTTCTTTAATTTTGGGTAAAAGTTGTGGGGTCATATATTAACGGCAACATAAGAGGTAAGCTTAAATACAAGTGTTGAAGTTATTAAACTTTTAACAAACTTCTTCATTTTATTACCTTTACATATGCAGTACACTAAAAAATGGTGTAGCCTCAAAGTTTGTACTTTTTTGCATTAATACAAATTTTCTTCTTGCTTCTTTGCGCAATAGATTTTTTAAAAGAATATGTTTTCGTTAAAAAACAATTTATTTTAAAACTAAGCAAAATCGACCAATAAATAGTTATTTATTATACAAGCAGATAAAGTGGCCGTTTAATGAGCTGTTCGTTAAGCCGCGCAGTAGCGCGCGCGTTAATTTCAGCGAATTAAACGGACACTTTATCCTGCGAGTGTAATACAACATTTTATTCGATTTTGCCTTATAAACCTTTCGATTTTAAAGATAAAAATATCAGTCATCAGATCGTCAGACATTTACAAATTTCATGATTATCCTGATTCCTATACGGCGATCATGACAACGACTTGTTTTTTATAAACAAAGTTGTAAAAAAAAATTGTGTTGTGAGTGTCAAGTCGTTTTTTGTGGAAAAAATTAATAAATAATTTCTGCGAAGAAGTGCATTATGATGTTCTTTCTGATGTGGAACGTTCGTTGGATGATATAATAGTGATACCATACTAATGGATAAACTGCTTTTTCAAAATCATCTGTTGCACCTTTTCCAAGTCCTGCGCTAAACACACAGTTATGGACATAGATGAATAATTTATATAGGGTATATAGATGGCGTACTCATGTACAACCTTTTGAACTCGTATTCAGCAGCGCCTCTGTAGTTTGGACGCTGAACTATAGAGCAAAATGTGCCTTTTTTAAATGGTAACAATAATGTTAATTGAGTATTTAGTAGAGGGAAATAAGTGCTACTAGCATCTTATTAGAGATTAAACAAAGAAAATAAAAGATTTTTTTAAAGTAATTTATTGAAGATATTGAATCAAATTAGTTAACAAGGTGGTTTCATACTTATAGGGATTATATTAGAACARTTATGTTCAAAGAGGAAGCATAAACAGTCTGGGTTGTCGAGTTCTTGTCACAAGGGTGCCGGCCGAAACAAATCTTCACATTTTTTCCATCAATGTCCACATTTTCATCACCAAAATTCACAAATTGTTAGTAAAACTTCCTTTACTTGTACACACAGCCCACAATAACTGAATAGAAATCTAAAGATCACAACTACACGTAAGCACTTTGAATTTCTATGAATGATGTCACCGTCAAAATTTAATTTTTTTCTATCAGAAGTGTCACAGCCAACCGCTAAAATTTTAAAATTTTGATACGAGCGCCTCTGGTGTTTGGACGCTAAATTAAATAGATAGACTGAATTCACCAATCTAAGAAACCATAGCATGGTTATGGAAGCGTGAATTTCGATTGTGCAACAGTTCAAAATCGCAACATTTGTATTGTTGCTCAAATACTGATTGAGGAACTTTAGAATCTGATGCGATAATTATTTTTATTGTAATTTTAAGTAAAAATATTGTTTGTTTAAAACAGCGGATTAAAATTTTTAATGCACCGATTGTTGACGTTTTAATGCGCTGCTTAAATAAACGAAATAAACAATGACTTTAATAGTTTCATTTGACATAAATAAACGTCATTTTATAAGGCAAAATCGAATAATAGTTATTTATGGTATAAGTGGGTAATATCTAATAACCCACGAATGCCATACAACGTTTTATCCATTCCCGGATTTTTATCTGTTAAATCTGTTAAAAATAATCTGACTTTTCATATTGAAAAGTGCCAAACAGTTGTCAAAACTTCCTTACGCGGGAGAAAAACCGTAAATTTTGACAGTGTCGAAGAATAAACAAATTTTCTACTGATTTTCCAGGTCAGCTTTGCTTTTTATCTTAAAATTTTATCTAATTTTAACCAAAACATTTGTTTCGAGGTGAAAAAGATACGAAAAAAGAAAATGAGAATTCTGCTTCTGGTTTGCAAGTCGTTGAGTCCAGAGAGATTTCTGAAATTCATTTTCACGGTACACTTTCAAATGTTCATTTCTATTTTGGAAAGAAATCTGAATCATAATTTCAAATTTGATGTACCTATTCTTAAATAAAGTTTTCAGAATATCTATTAAAAATTTATTTCATCCTGCAATGGGTTATGGATGATAATAACCCACGGTGCTAATGGCAACGTGGGTTATATCAAACAGTCTAGTTATTGCTCAGTTTACTTAACAAAAACTAACAAGTAAAACACCATATTACTATTGAATATTGGATAAAAACAATTTAATCAAAACTTAGGGTTTGAAGTGTTGTAATACTTGTTTCTGTCGCCTGTGTTACGCGACAGTGTGAAATTTTATTGTAAAAATGTGGGTTTCATATTATTCTTGTTTTAAACTGGTGTGGCATGATCAAAATTGGCCCCCAACCTTTTATTATAAGATAACATCAAATCCACACATGTCCAACTATAATGGTCGTTATCGAAACGTAACCCTGAAATAAACTAGTATTTTTCTTCAATTGTCCTTTATTCCACGAAATACAACAAACATCAATTTAATCAAAAGCTACATTTAAAAATTCCAAGGAAATTGAAAATACACAAGTTTATACAGGATGTGCCAGAACTCGCGCCCCAGAGAAAAAATGTCAAATGCCGGGAGCAATAGGTCGCCAAAAAGTGCAGCCGAAGAACTAATTTTTGCTTGCATAAGAAAGTTATTAGACTCTTAAGTCCACCAATCCCAGAAGGGCACCTCAAGGTGTGATTCAAAAATTATATCCGTTGTTAGGTTACGAAAATAATACCAATTTGTCCAGAATTTAAAAAAAATAGCTGGTCTACTGTAATTTTGAGTTTGACATTTGTTAATTTTCGTGATGTTGAAAATGAAAAAGCACCAGAGAAATTGCGGCTCCACTGGAAGTTTCTAGTAATACTGTACGCAGAGTTTTTAAAGTTTCTAATCGGTCGTATCACTTTAAAGCCCTGGTCTGCAAGGTTAAAATAAGGGGTGTTTTTAAGGGTTGCTTTTAGGGGTTGAAATTTATACCAAGTGATAGCTGTGACTAAGTAAGTTATCTGTGTTGAATTTGAAGTCAGTCGGAACATTTTAAAGTCCTGGTCTGCAAATTATTAAAAGTTTTGCAAAATAGAAACTCCCAACCGTCTGCACCCATATTATATTCGAGTACAGCAACTACAGGCAGAGGATTACCCTGCACGAAAAAAATTCTGCGCGTGGTTGTTGAAAATGGAGTTGCAATAACCAGATTTTGTTTCGGGCTGTTTTAACAGTCGTAACTGTCATAGGAGAAGAAAATCCAAATGCTTTAATTCCGAGGGCATTTCAGCTAAGCTTTTCGGTGAATTTGTGGGCTGGTCTTTTGGGGAATCGATGTGGTTTGTCAATAATATGAACTAATTTCAACACAACGTGACCCCCTTTCTTTCTAGATCGGACCTTTTGAGTTTCCTCGACATTTAACAGGACCCATGTATGCCCAATTCCTTAGAAATGAACTGCCAAATCTATTGAAGGAAATACCACTCGTTTTTCGGGTCAACGATTGGTTCCAGCACGATGGGGCACCATCTCATTATAGTCATGAAGTCCGCGAAATTTTGGACCAACAMTATCCTAATCGTTGGATAGGAAGAGGTGGTCCACGACACTGGCCTGCGCGGTCTCCCGATTTAAGTCCTCTTCATTTCTTCCTTTGGGGTCACATCAAAAATATTGTCTACAGACGACCCATTAACACAGAAGAGGAGCTTCGAGAGAAGATTCAAGAATCAAAAGGCATTTGCGACGCCCACTCCACGAATAATTAGGGAATCCGTAGCTTCCGGTGACAAAAGTGCTAATTTTTCGTAATAAATAATAAAAATATAAACATCCTGGATTTTTTAATGAAAAAGCAACCAAGAGGTTACAGTAAGCTCCTACCTAAATATACGAGTGTAAAACTACAATTTGAGTATTAATAGTTATTTATTCGACGAGTTTGAGTGTAAATCGGACGAACTATCCCACCGAGTGGGTTGTATCTTCTTTATCATCCACGAGGTGGAATAAAGCGTCCGATTTACACTCAAACGAGTTGAATACAACATTTTATTCTTCGAATTAGACTGAATAAGGCTTAAACTTGCTTTAAATCTGTTAAAAATAATCTGACGTTTCGTATTGAGAAATGCCAAACAGTTGTCAAAACTTCCCTACACGGGAGAAAAACCGTAAATTTTGACAGTGTCGAAGAATAAAATAATTTTCCAAGTTTTTTTTGCTACAGGCTATTAGAAGAAGAAACAAGGAAGCTGTATCCTAAATTGTATATGTGTTCAATGTTATTTGTGGCTTTTATTGGCAAAATTTTTGTCCTTTTACTAAATAATTGTAAAAAAACATAACAAGATCATCAGTATCATTAAATAGACATAAATAAATGTCWAATGTCACAATTTTTTGACAGAGTATTTTTTAAACATTTTTTCCATGTTCCTGGTTAAGAGGTTTAGCCAAAAACGAGTGATACATTCTGGGTCTCATTTTTTGAGAAATCCTGCTATCGTCTTTTATTTTCGACTTACCTACAGGTTGCGCCAGAACTCGCGCCTCAGAGAAAAAAAAATAAGTAAGGTAAGATACCAGGAACATGGAAAAAAATGTTTAAAAAAATCTATCTATCAAAAAATTTTGACATTTATTTTTTGACATTTGACATTTTTTTATGTCTATTTAATGATACTGATGATCTTGTATATGTTTTTTACAATTATTTAGTAAAAGTATTCTAATTTTTATACTGACCTACGCAGATTCACTTCATACAATTGTTTACAAAATCAGAAAAAAATACCAACTAGATTTTGAATTAAACGCAATTTCCCATCTTAACTTTGAAAATCATTTTTATTTATGACCTGCTACTTGTGCCATCGTAAATTTAGGTGCCAATGGGGTAAGATTCCAAGGCTTACAACAAAAAGACCCTTTAAAGCGGTCGCCTACCAGTAAATGATTCTTTTGTTGGCAAATTATACCATTTTGTCATAAATCACGGGTCTGGTTTGTGTTTAAATAAAAAAAAAGCGATTATTTGGCTAACCAAGTCAAAATTTGAAATTGTGATATCAAAGTTTGATGCGCTGACAGGTACAGATTCATTTAGTGTAAAAACTTTATAGATAAATTAACAGAAAGTATTCATAAAATACACAAAACTGTTACGGGTTTATTTATTATATATATTTATTATTATTAAAAAATTAGAGAAATTTTCAAATTATACCCTATCAATAATTAGTTAGGTTTATAAAATATTGCCAGTTTTAATTAATTAGAAGTCGCGATTTATCAATGGACGTAACCGATGCCACACCCGGTATAATAACGATGATGATTTTTTTTTGTCTGTAAATCAAAAACAAAAAACGATAGCTGGATGCGGTTTTAACCAATATTATTTTCTCAAAAAATGAGCCCGAAAATGTATCACTCGTTTTTTTAGTTTCGGAGATTCTCTATTCGGACATCCAAAATGCAGCACCCTGTACAATATCAATTGGTCTTTTTATAATTTTGTGATTTTGTATCCTTTTCTTTTCCTATAGCAACATAAAAGCTCATTTATTCCTTTTGATTTTTTGCCACATGCAGATTGGATTAGATTTCTTGCGGAATGTTAAATTTGACGTCTGGACCACACTTCAGCATAATCGCAATCATAGAACTACCTATTTTGGTTTTCATAGATATTTTAAATTTATTCCGACTTTTGACTTTTTATTTTACATTGTCATAGGAAAAAAGCTAAACAAATGTGTTAGTAATAAAAAAATAATTGCATAAACTATGGGAGAGAACAAGTTTTAAGTCTCGCTTTCATTATTTCTATAATTCAACTTGGCGTTGAATGAGTACACTTATTTAAGGAGCTTGGCTAAAAAAAATTGTTTCTTTTTGTTGGTGTATAAATACTTTTATTTGGTTTACTCTCTAAATTCAATAATACAGTGGCGGACCCGGAATTTTGGACACCAAATTTATGTCAGTTAAAAAAATGTCAATATAATCCACGCTTTATTGTCATTATGATTGACGTTTGAAACTAAAATTTGAAAGTTTTAGTTGAAATTTATTTTTAGCGTCGATTTTCTAAAACAATAATGCCAGCAGTACGTGTTCTTATATAAGTTCAATGAATTATTATTTTGATTTGTTGTGATTTTTTCTCTAGCTATAAGGATAAAAATTACAAAAACCAAAAGTGAGGTTAGTTGCCTAAGGACCGTTTTATATTTTTATGTCACTCGAATGACAAATCGTCCAAAATTCCGTGTCCGCCAGTGTACACATCTTTTCTACAAAGATTATTTTTTTAGAAATGTGTGGAAATGTCTTGTAGTTCAAAACTGGGATTATTCTAACAAAATTTTTGGTGGAACTAAAAAAGAACCATAAAATGGCTTAGGGTTTTTTTATGAACCAGTGCCCCGAATCGACAAGTTGTATTTCTGGTTGCCGGTAACAAAGGGGCAGCGTTATTTGACTACTTTGGCAACTGTCGAATTTAGCGTTTTGGCTTTTTGCGAAATGCAAGACATTTGTTTTTTAGGTTATGTACTATGTCATATTTTATAAACTTCAAAAGTTGCAGTTATTTTGTTACAAAAAATTACACAAGTTACATCAATTGAAAGGTTATGTGAGTTTTTGCTGCCCATTTCTACGAAGACGTGAACGAAATTGGCATTTGTTTGCAGGTGAGTTGGATTACGTTAAAAATTTTCCAATCGTTACACCAAGATTATAACCTTAAAATAGTCACATGTACGATGTTCTGTACCAAATATAACTTATTTTCTTTGAAACACGAACAACTCCAACATGTTTTCAAACACTATTCGGTTCATCGACCATCCGTTGTAGTAAAAAAATTCATACCAAATCCAAACAAATCTCGAATAAAAACAACAGAGCCTGCCCCATGTACATTTGAGGTACGTGGAGGTCCTCGTGTAAACGAATTAAATATTCAAATGTTGTCGTCACAACTTTTTGAGCAAGTTTTCAAAGGACTAGTTGTGAATAAGTGTGATGAAGCTATTGTTAGAGAGTGTCTTAAAAGCCTGCAAGAACACAACATGGTGCAAAAACCGGAGAGCTACATGAAGGACGTGGAATTTCAAATACCACCACTCGAGGGTAAAAATATCGAAGAGCATTTTCACGTCATTGGAGATCAACAACTAAAACCTTATCGCGAATTAATTGAAAAGCTTTTAACAAAAATACCTGAACCACCTGATAAATGGGAAATGCAGCAGGGGTGGACAAGATACGCTCCAGGTCTACCACCACAACAAGTGCCATATCCATTAGAAGAAGGATTAGTTTTTGATATTGAAGTTGCTGTAACTGTTGGGAAAGCACCGACCTTGGCCACAGCCGTGAGCAGCGAGGCATGGTAAGAATTTAAATATTATTTTTTTAAAGCAGAATTCTATTGGCAACATTGGATTAAGTGAAAGGCTGTCCCTTGGAAATAAATGACAATCTATATTGTCGTATCAACAAGAAATTACTCCCTAGGATTTTGGGATATTCGTGAATAGGTTGCCATAAATTTGGTTAGGTTGGTTTCTGGTGACAAACAAAAGATATCGTAACTAGTGTCAAAATTTAGCTTAAGTCACCTGTCAGCTTGTATGTAAAATTCAATTGATAGTTGACAACAGGTTGACAAAACGTCAACCGTCTACAACAAAGGGTAACCAACCTTAGGCATTCAAAATGACTTCTGAAAATTCTAGTTACCAAAAACATAAAAAACGTAATTTTCCTAAAAGTTTAAATCCTAGGTGGTAATTTCTTGTTAACAAATCTGTACAAGGTGATTCTTTTAGGGCTTACAGTAGAAACTTTTTAACTTCTAATGCAGATAGGAATTTGAAATTTTGTACACAACCCAAATCGACCAGTCTGAGTTCTATTAAATTATTTTCAAATTGGCGGAAATTCCGGAACTACGAGAAATTGGCGCCAACTTTGAAATTTTAAATGGTACCCACTTATTTTTATTGCATTTTTGAAGTCTCCTCTTTAAGCTAAGTGAAATGTACCTAGTTGTTAGTACTTATCTGTCATAGTTTTTGACATATGTCAATTTTTTGGTCAAAATTTTTCCTTGCAGGGGTTCATTCAAAACATCACAGCTCTTGAACCCTTTGCGATAAGTGAATATTTTTTTTGCATTCGATAACCAAAGATTCGAAGAGTTTTCTAGAATTTTCCAAATTGTCAACTGTCAAATTTTGATTTTGGAAAATGATCATTAACAAACAGCTATAAGTCAGTTTTTTCAAATGAAATGACTCTATTTTCTCAACGGCATCAAAATTAAATATTTGCAGAAGGACTTTTATCAACATGTCCTATACCTATCTCTTACAGTTTTTGAAGTAATCACAAAAAACATGTTTTTGTTTTTTATTTTTATAGTTAATCACGTAGGTTTTGGAGGAATACAATAAAGATATGCCATAATTAATACAAATGTTCGATATGTTTACTTGTACTTTCGATTGCCATTGAGAAAATAGGGTCATTTTGTTTGAAAAAACTGAGTTATAGCTGTTTGTTAAATTTTCAAAAAATTTAAATTTTCAAAAAATCATATAAGCTTTGCAATTTGACAGTTTTCAATTTTGAAAATTTTAGGAAACTCTTCGAACCTTTAGTTATCGAATGCAAGAAAAATTATTCACTTATCACAAACGGTTCAAGAGCTGTGATGTTTTTAATAAACCTCTGCAAATGAAAATTTTGAGCAAAAAATTGACATATGTTAATATGACAGATAAATACTAACAACTAGGTACATTTTACTCAGTTTGGAGAGGAGAATTCAAAAGTGCAATAAAAATAAGTGGTTACCATTAAAAATTTCAAAGTTGGCGCCAATTTCTCATAGTTTCGGAAATTCAGCCATTTTGAAAAAGAGTTTCGTGATTGACTGACAGACAACGCACAGCCTAAACCACTGGAGCTAGAAATATGAAATTTGGCAGATATGTTCCTTAGAAGGTGTAGAGATCCGCTAAGAAAGGATTAAAACAAAATCAATCTCTAAAGGGGTGAGATGGGGTGTAAACTTTTAAACAAAGATAGAAATAAAAAATTGGAAGATATGTTACTTAGCGGTTGTAAAGGTGCACTAAGACGAGATTTTTTTAAAATAATTATTAAAAACATATTTACTCCCTTAGAAAAGGAGGTGAAACGGGGTGTACACGTTTAAACAAAAATAAAAACATGAAATTTATCAGATACTCCTATGTTCCTTAGAGCATGTAGATGTCCACTCAGAAAGAATTTTTCGAAAACCAATTTCTTAGGGGGTGAAATTGGGTGTAAACGGTGATAAAAACGGTGATAAAAACATAAACTTTGGGAAACATATTCCTTAGAGGTGTACAGGTCCGCTAAAAAAAGATTTTTTGGAAATTAATTTCTAAGGGGGGTGAAATGGGGTGTAAACATTTAAACGCAGGTAAATATATAAAATTTAAGAAACATATTCCTTAGAGAGTGTAGAGATCCACCAAGAAAGAATTTTTTGAAAATATATACAGGTGCGCCAGAACTCGTGCCCAAGAGAAAAAATTTCAGGTCAGATAGGATACCAGGAACATGAAAAAAATGTTTAAAAAATTCTATCTGTCAAAAAATTTTGACATATTTTTTGACATTTTTTCATGTCTATTTAATGATACTAATGATATTGTATATGTTTTTTTACAATTATTTAGTAAAGGTACCAAAAATTTGCCAATAAAAGCCACAAATAATATTGAACAGAGTTACAATTTAGGATACTGCTTCCTTCTTTCCTCTTCTAATAGACTGTAGCAAAAAAACTTAAAAAATTATTTTTTCAACAGAAATAAATAGAGTCAAAGTGCAAAATTTAAACTCTCATAACTTCGAAATTTTTATAGATAAAATTTTTTAAACATTTTTTCCATGTTCCTGGTATCTTACCTTATTTTTCTCTGGGGCGCGAGTTCTGGCGCAGCCTGTATATTTATAAGAGGGTGAAATGGGTTGCCAACAATTAAACGAAGATAGAAACATAAAATTTGAAGGATATGTTTTTTAGCGGTTGTAAAGGGGCATTAAGACTAGATTTTTAAAAATCAGTTTCTTAGGAGGTGAAATAGGATGTACACGTTTAAACGAACGAAGATAAAACATGAAATTTGGAAAATAGATAGAGAGTGAAGAAATGCACTACTCAGGAATTTCTCAAAAACCAACCTATAACAGGATGAAATAAGGCGTAGACATTTAAACGAAAATATATACATGAAATTTAGAATTTTGATTTTTGAGGGTGTAGAAGTGCACTTTTTGAAAATTCAACGAGGTGAAATGGGGTGTAAGCGAAGGTAACGTACATTCGTCATTTTCTTCAGAATTGACTTTCTGCTTCTGTGTTGTTTTGAGTTAATGAATCAAGAAAAAAAAATAGATAAACAGACTTTATATTTCTTCTTTAAAAAACAACAAAAGTTTATATCTAAAATCTGCGTAGACGAAATTACGGGTACAAGCCTACTTGATACAATACAATAAGTTAGAGTCTACTTTATGCAATGTTGCCAACTCAATTTCAAAGTCACAAGCTACTTGAAGAAATCTCTTGTTTCACAGGTATGGATGGGTGAGCCAGATGTTGCTGGATGGTACAAGCAAACCTGTAACAACCCATCATTATTTTCTCGATCAGTTAATACCCCTGGAAAGTACATCAAAGGACACAGGCATAAAACTCGCTAAACACATGAAACAACCTAAAGTAATTGTAGGCCACAACGTATCATACGATCGTTCCAGAATTAAAGAACAGTATTGGTTAAACCAAACCGGTACTAGGTTTATCGACACAATGAGTCTACATGTTTGTGTTAGTGGTTTAACGAGTTACCAACGTGCAATTCTTAAAGCTGGTAAAACTGACGAAGAAGATGAAATTTGGAGACAACAAAGTTCTTTAAATAGCTTAAATGAAGTTCATAAGTTGTACTGTGGAGGAAAATCTGTAGCGAAAGAAACGCGAGATCTATTTGTCACAGGGAGTTTAAATGATATTAAAGGAGAGTTTCAAACAGTTATGAAGTATTGTAGTAGTGATGTTGTGGCTACTTACAATGTTTTAAAAGAATTGTTTCCGATGTTTTTGGAACGGTTTCCACATCCAGTTACATTAGCTGGAATGTTGGAGTTGAGTACTGGTTATTTACCAATAAATTCAAACTGGAATCGCTATATCGATAATTCGGAACAAGCTTACGAAGACATGGACATTGAGGGGAGAATTTTGTTAGCGAGGAGGGCTGATCAGGCGTGCCAACTTTTACACGACGACAAATATAAAGAAGATCTATGGTTGGTATATAATATAACTGATGAGTACGGATACCTAAAGACTAGGACACGACACGATGTAAAACAAAACGTTCCTTTTCTCGATAGTTAGTGGGGCCAAATAGCGCAGTTGTTCCTTTCCCGTTTAAGTTTTAAGAGAAATGAAATAAAAAAATGCCTGTATTTACATAACGGTGAGCAGAACGCAAACAAAAAAATTATACACAAATAGAGCATTAAATTTTCAATAATAAGACATAAAGATAATGCAATTTTTTTTTTGAAAACAGGGTGATTTATCTCAGCTCCGGGCTTCTGTCGCTCAGTTATTATTGAAGTGAGAATTTTGATATTTTGTAGACTTTATTTATATTCTAGAGCGCATTTTAGGAAAATATTTTTCATTATACAGAATGGCCCAAAAATTAGTTACAATACAAACTTATGTTTTTTTTTAATGAAACACTATATGTTTCTTGGCATTTTTGAATGTAGCTTTTAATTTCAATGTTTTTAAGCTAATCTTCTATTAGTCGATTTTGCGTAGTTTTTGAATTAAATTGTTTTTTTGGCGAAAACATTCTCTTTTTAAAAATTTATTACATAAAAAGTTAAGACAGCTGGATTTTTTTTTAGTATTGTAAAGAGGAAAATACGTACTTTAAGACTATAACATTTTTTTTAATGTATTGCAGTCGAAATATTATAAAAATGTAGAAGTTTGTTAAAAGTTAAATAACTTAAAAAAATTTAATGGAACAACCTTTTTTTATTTTTGCATCTAAGAGATTATTAAATGATCTTTTCAAAAACATTTACGTTTAACTGTCTACAATTAATAACTAAAAAGATATTTAACTATAAACCTTAAAAAATAATCATTATTTCAATAGCAAAAAAGTGCACATTTGCACTAGATATGGAAGAAATATCACTTAATAATCACATTTGTGTTAAACTGAATTTATTTTTATAATAAAACAATTCGAATTTCAATATTTATGTCAGCTTTTACAATTTCTGGACGAATCCCAAATAAGTGATCAGTGGTGAAATTACTATAGTTGCCTTAGTATCAACAATGATCATTTTAATGATATACTCGTTTTCATATTAATGTGCATCGAAGTAGTCGTTGAAAGGGATCATTTTAAGGTGGCAATTATGCGAAAATTCAAACAATCCTAAACTCAGTCTTCCCTAAAAATTATTTTTTCAAATAAATGTGTACCCCATGTAGCAAAAAATAGTTAAAATGAATAACATAATCAACATAGGATAGCAAACATAAAGATTTTTGTCATTATTGATGTGATTAAATTTGTTTTGAATGACATAAATGACACTTTGTGTAAATCAGACTTTAAATTAAAGATTCATTTAGACTTGTACAACCTACTTGATGCACATTAATATGAAAAAGAGTACAGGCTTTGTTGCTACAATTAACATTTAAAATTAAATATCTTTTAATTTATGAATTCTAGACATCAAAAGTTTATTTTTTTAGATAGACAATTTATCAGTCTATGAGATACAAAAATAAAAAATATGGTGTTCCATTAAAATTTTTTAAGTTATTTAACTAAAAATGTTATAGTCTTAAAGCACGTRCTTTCCTCTTTAGAGTGGTATTTTTTTTTCCAGCTGTGTTAACTTTTTGTGTAATAATTTTTTAAAAAGAGGATGTTTTCGCCAAAAAAATCAACTTAATTCAAAAACTAAGCAAAATCGACTAATAGAAGTTTAGCTTAAAAACATTGAATTAACATGGTGTTTAATTTAAAAAAAACATAAGTTTGTATTGTAACTTATTTTTGGGCCATCCTGTATAATCAAAAATATTTTCCTGAAATACGCTGTAGAATATAAATAAGGTCTACAAAACATCAAAATTCTCACTTAAATAATAACTGAGCTACAGAAGAACGGAGCTGAGATGAATCACTCTGTATATTAAAAAAAAAACATTTACCAATTTTTCACAATGCCGCGAATACAGTTGAAGGTACAAAAAAAATGTAAAAAAGAAAGTTGTAGAGAATAAAATTTCCAAGAAAAGTCTGCTAGACGATATTTCTATCATCAAGTGTTTAGGCCCTAAAGACGTTTAAAGACATTCAAGCGACGACTACGTGTCATTTTTACCGGTGGTCAAGAGCGAGAAAATTAATTTAAACCTAATGAGAAGATAGAGACATGGTCTGCGGATTTTTTTGTAGCAAATTTAATTCTCTACAAMTTTGTTCCCTACACTTTTTTTGTATCTTCAACCGTATTCGCAGCGTTGTTAAAAATATCGAAAACAGTATTGAAAATTAATTATAATCAATTATTAGTTTGCGTAAAGAAACAGAATTGTAGAGAAGAAAATTTGCTACAAAAAAGTCCTCGACATTATTTTTCTATTTTTCTCCTGGCACTCAATCACCAGTAAAAATGAAAGGAATCCTTCGCTTGAGCGGTTTGAACATCTTTGAGGCCTAAACCATTAAAGACAGAGGTATGTTCTCGCGGACTTTTGACTCGAAAATTTTATTCTCTACAACATTCTTTCTTACATTTTTCTTGTATCTTTTACCGTATTCGCAGCATTTTGAAAAACATGAAACGGAGCACAGATTTTAAATTTTAAATATTTTTTGCTCATATTTCTCGTTCGTTCGTTTTTCAAAGCTTAACATTTTTGCATTTAATTTCAAGCAATTAGTAGACTGGTTGAATTTAAATTAATTTAAAACGATTTGAAACTGAGACTGTAAAACGCTCTAAGAGCCCTCATTTTTACTCTGCCGTACTACTTTTTATGGGTCCAAAAAATCGAGCGATTTTGTATCTCGTTTCGTCTCCTAGTTTATACAGGGTGAATATAAAGTATGGAACTAAGCGGTTTTATTTTTAATCATTTGCCTCCAGCACATAATAATTTATATAAATTAAAGTAATATAAAAAATGTGATCGTATTTTCAGAACGAAATTTTGTTTTGTTTTTGAGTTATGCGATTTTTTTTGTCAAAATTTGCAATTTATGTGTAAAAATTTTTTTGAAAAAATTAAATATTAAGCGGATAGTTGTAATCCTAAGAGTATAGCTTTTATGAGAAAAATGATTTTATAGTGGGTTGCCATTTAAAAACAAAAAGAAATTTCGAAAAATTTTATTCTTGTTAAATTATCACATTTTTATAGTACTTTATCACTCATCAATTAGTTTTTTCAAAAAATAAATAGTTTAAGCAAAAAATGTTTGGTTCCATACTTTTTATTTACCTGGTATGTAGTTCTCCGTACTGATGAGCAACAGATTTTTTTCTCGGGGTTGGCCCTGGCAGAGAGATATAGACATACAGGGTGCGTCAGAATTCGCGCTTCAGAGAATAATGCCATGTAAGGTAAGATACCAGGAACATGGAAAAAATGTTAAAAAAATTCTATCTTGAAAAATTTCAAAGTTATGAGAGTTTAAATTTTACACTTAGACTTTATTTACTTCTGTTGGAAAAATAATTTTTCAAGTTTTTTGACTACAAGCTTTTAGAAGCGGAAACAAAATCCTAAAAGTTTTTGACGGAAAATTTTTTAAACATTTTTTTTATCTTATGTATCTTATGTTATTTTAAATTTTTCTCTGGGAAGCGAGTTCTGACACCTTGTATAAGTCATGTGTAATTTTAATCCTTTAAAACAGTTCATTTTTGACACAAGTTGAAAACATTACTTTTCTAAGACAATTTTTTGGAGATTGCATGATTAGTTTAAATACAGAGACAATTTCGCCTCTGACGTCATGCGATATCTGTGGTTTTTTTATGACCACATTTGAAAAACACAATTTTCAAAACTCCTGTTGCTGATGTTGCTAATCTGTAAATTTAAAATTGAATTGCTTAAAACGGTTATTAACTGCGAGTAGTTTAATTACTCACAATTAGTAGAAGACATACGTTGAAAATTTCCAAGGCCCTCCCTGAGTCAAAATTCCGTTGCTCACATTTTTTGTGATTAATTAAAAACTCATCCACAGCCATTCCTTTTTGTCACTTAACCAAATTAAAATAATTAAAAGAAAGTTATAAATATCAATTAATAAACCACAAACGTTTTGTTACTGAATGGCTGTCTATTAGCATATGCAGTATTTTAATGTAACTAGTTTAATAGGTTATGGGATCAAGATTGGACAGTTAAAAATCTCAGAATGAAGAAAAACTCTTCTAAAAGAAAAGACATTGAGACACCACCACCACCAGCAAATGATGATCAAACGATCGACCCATTGGAAGAGAAATTTCGCAGTTTAATGGAGACAAAAGCCAATATTTCAAGTGTAAATTCTCATCTTCCTGGCTACCCTACATGGTACAAAAAACTATGTACGAAACCCGACTCTTCATCTAACTGGATTCCTGGACCTCATCTAATTAGTACTTCGATGAGGATCACTCCTAAGCTATTATCCCTCACTTGGGAAGGTTTTCCTTTACATTATACTCGAGAAAAAGGTTGGGGTTTTCTCATCCCTTTCACCGACGATATTGAAACCAGTAGAAAGTTGCCTTTGCAAAAGCTTCTCGAAAAGTGTCCATTAAAAATTAATAAAGCCAAAGAAGATTCCGGTAAGGATGTTTTCGCCGATATCACTCAAATAGTTCAAGATAATTTGATGCGAAAAGAATATTACTCTAAATTGAAAAAAGACAAAACTCGAGGTGTTTACACTGGCACTGGTATTTGGTGCAGTACTGAAATCGAAGACTGTTGTTACTTCTTGAAGTTACCACACAAGAATGGATCTGCTTACAATGTGGGTAACCCTTTATCCAAAGACTTTTTGAATAAATTCTCCGAAAATGTGTTAGCTGGTGATACGGAAAGTGCCGAACAAGTGTTGGCTATCGCTCGCACTTTGTGGTATTGGCGTAACAACCGTGACCGCATTTTCGACCAAATGGTAGTTTGGTTGTACGAGAAAAACCTTCCGAAACATTTAAGTGGGGGGCAATATGGGGCTATTATCCCTCAAGTGGTCGTCTGTGGTACACTAACGCGTAGAGCTGTTGAACCGACATGGATGACGGCATCCAACGCCCGATCGGATCGAGTAGGCTCCGAATTGAGAGCAATGGTGCAAGCACCACCAGGCTACAATATAGTTGGCGCTGATGTCGACTCACAAGAATTGTGGATTGCTTCGATTATTGGTGACTCACACAGAGCTAAAATCCATGGGGCTACACCTTTTGGTTGGATGACTCTGAGTGGGAATAAATCAGACGCCACTGATATGCATAGTGTCACCGCTAAAGCAGTGGGAATATCACGTGACCATGCAAAAGTCATTAATTATGCTCGAATTTATGGTGCGGGTCAAAATTTTGCAGAGAGACTCCTCAAACAGTTCAATCCCTCAATGTCAGAGGCTGAAGCCAAATCCAAAGCCTCGAAAATGTTCGCTTTGACTAAAGGCAAACGAGTTTATCGTTTAAAAAAAGAGTTTTTGATGGAGTATTGTGACCAAAGTTACTCCCATTGGCAGGCGTTTGAAATGGCGAAATCGTGGGGCAAACGACTTGATGATATGTTCGAGAGACCTAAATGGGTTGGAGGTACGGAATCGGCGATGTTTAATCGTTTAGAATCAATAGCTACGAATTTGGAACCACGTACACCGTTTTTGAATGGGAGGTTAAGTCGGGCTTTGGAACCGAAACTGACAAGTGACGATCGGTATTTGCCCACGAGGATTAATTGGGTGGTGCAAAGTGGTGCCGCCGATTTCCTGCATTTGATGTTGGTGTGTATGAGGTGGATTATGGGTGATAAGGCGAGGTTCTGTTTGAGTTTTCACGATGAAGTGAGATATTTGGTTCCGGAGAGGTTTAAGTATCAAGGGGCGCTTGCAATGCATGTGACGAATCTCTTAACGCGAGCGTTTTGTTCAGTGAGATTAGGAATTAATGATTTACCGCAATCTGTGGCGTTTTTTTCCACGGTGGAAGTTGATACTGTATTGAGAAAAGATGCGAAAGATGATTGTAAGACGCCGTCGAATCCACACGGGTTGGAAAAAGGGTATAATATTGCCAATGGAGAAGGTGTGGATATAAATCAAGCGGTTGAGAAAGCTGGAGGAAGATTTAGTTATTGGTATGAACAGTTGAAATAATTTTGTTTTGCTGTTATGATGTTTTTGTTTGTTATAATAATAAAATTTTTATAAGTACCAATCTCTTTTTTTTTGTCATGCAAATAGAAACATAAATAAGCTGTTACATACGAAAAAGTAACATTACACGCTGTTTAAAATTTGCAACACTTTCTTTTTTATATTTTCAACTTTCAATTTCTTCTAATCCCTTTGCAGAAAATACAGGCTGTTCCATTTTTATTGTTACAAATTTAACCAGGTGATAGAATATTTAATTTT